GGCGACAAGGATTAGTGCGCCGCCTATGGTGCGGCTTTTGAATGGAGTGCGACGCAAGCAAAGCCATCTACCTTAGCTTATTAGGACTTTGGTTTTGATTAGGAGATTTGAATAAAGACATGTGCCTAGTTAGTTATTTGGTAAGTTTATGATTCTAGATATCTAGTTACCTTAGGAGTTTATTTCATTTTTATGATTTTAGAGTTCTAGTTAGCATAGAATTATACCTAGTTAGCCTCTATAAATATTATCCATTGTCATTCGAATTTTATGATTGAAGAAGTTAATAAAAAATTGAACGTTTGTTCAAATATCGTGTGATTAGAATTCGTGAGAGTTTTTCCATACAACTCGAGATTAGTAAGGATTAACACCCAAGCTAGCTCAATCCGTGAGAAGATAAGGAGCAATACGAGTCGTCCACACCTATCGTCGAGAAGAAAGTCGTGAAAAAGCAGCTTTCGACGCAAATCGAGTTGAGCAAATACAAGATCTTTATCAGCTGGGCATGACGCACGGCTGGTAGGAACATGCGGACGGGCGCTGGAATGAGCAGAAGTGTTGCGCGCGTGCGGGCGGAACTCCTAAGCGAGGCCGATTGGGCGCTGGCGTCTGGACACACGCGGGCGTTCTCAACAAGTAACCTGGGCGCGCGTGTACTTTTTCGCTATTTCTTGTCGCGCGCAGGGATCGGGTGCGATAGTCAACGAGTAGCGGTGATGCATGGCGAGCAGGGACAACGTGCATGGCATTGCTGGGCGTCGCTGGGAACGTGCGCCTGGGCCTGGAGATGCGTGGCTACTGGTAGGGACGCGCGACAGCGTTGGGCTGGGGACAGTTGAACTTCGGTGGCGATAGGCGGAATAGGTGATTTCTGGCGGTTGTCAGCAGCAGCGGACAACGGTGGTCAGCGGTAGAGGGTGCCCGGAATTTATGTGATAAAAGCTCGATTAAAAGATTACCCAAAAGCCTTCTAATGCATTACCTAAAACACCTACTTCGATTAATCTTGGTGGAGCGATTAATCGAATCTCCCTAACTCTCGAAGAACACAATTTCTCTATCTATGTAGAAGGAAAAACCGACCAGCATAATGAAGATTCAAGAGGTTTGGACATGGTGTATTTATAGGTTCCATTAGAGACCTAAATGAGGTGCTAAATATGGGCTTATCTCATTAGGCTAAGGAATCCTAATTCTACGCCATATACTTCTCCTATCTAGGTTGGAATTCCTCCTACTAATAATTACCTTCAAAAGACGTTTTAGTTTTCTAACCCTAGGTAATATTCTAGAGATTCCACTCCTAATGGAATATTAATTATAGAATAAAATTAATTCCTTAATCTAATTAGAATTAAATAATAAAACATCCTACTAGAGTAATATTATTGCTCTCTCCATTTAGCTCCTAAATTATTCAATAAATTCGAACCTTCACTTGATTAATTAATATTAATCTAATTGACCGATTCACCTCCCTATGTTTAAGATATAACATCCGTCGATTAATTAAATTACTGACAAAGTAATTAATCAACTTCTATTCACTTCCGAAATTAGTACCACTCAGTTCACTAACCATTATGTCGGGCAATCGTCCACCTGCAGGGTTTAACATAATGTTCCTTCCTGAGCTTATTTCGGGGACATCATCAATCCAGCGCACTGGAACATAGTGAACGTAAATAATTTATAACAGCACATCATATAAACACCCTTATTTACCAAAGTACCGAGTATGTCATCATAACGGAATAGGAATCACCCTTGGTAAATCAAATAAACAAGTAATGAAAATACATGCCCGTTTTATATTATTTTACATCTTAAGAGAACGCATCAATCATCGAAGGTTTAGATTACAACAACGATCAGTGAGTCTCATAATCTTATCCTTTTGTGGTCCTGTTCAATACTTATCATAAGTACTAGTGTAGTTCTCCAGCTAAAGATCAACTGATCAAGAATACACTATAGTCTTTTTCCAAGAGGGTCTCACTGTCTGTCTAGACTGTGAACGAATAGTTAGTCTTACAAGGAACCGATAGGTGATCTTTCTGTTTGAGACACCACGAACCACACTAGCTCAATGTAAGACAAGGAGTATGATTGCATAACTAAA